GCCGCGTTTTACGACTTCATCGCCAACATTGTTTAACTAACCAAAAGACCCCTTGTCATGGAAATTTCAGAAAATTATGTAAAAGCTTATTGAAAACTGAATGGCATGCTACTCTCGATACCACTTCCAACATACTGAGACCATAACTACTTGAAACTTTTAATGGATAACCTGTTAGATTTTCGAACCACTTCGTGAAAGCGGTCACCCCTTGGTCCCTGTTTACATTTTAGATAATGGTATTTGCTTATATGCTGGAAAGAAATATTGATCATGATATGCAAAGAAGTTATCAAAATATCAACAAGTCTACGTTCATTTGTCTATCATTGTAATTGTAATGTTTTTACTTTACATCCATCGTTCCAGTAATTAACATAACCATGGTCTTTACCAATGAAGGTTGTACTAATGGAAAATTCAACCAATCCTCATTAGTGACGAGGCTAAAAAAAGTGGTAACCATTTTTTTGTTTTATCTAGCTATTCATATCTAAATTACAATTATAGCTTCGGTTGTTTTTCAATTACAGTTAACCACAATTGAAAAAGAAACTTATTTGAATAAACTCAAACATTCCGAGTGAGTCTGTGCGGTGCTTTCGGATGCATGCTCTGATGTGGTGTTTGAAAGACGTTATTAATTACAAATTGAAAATAAATCATCATTTTTATTCTGTAAACGTTGATATGTTTACCTGATTGTGTGGTGATCTTTAAAGGTGCTTTTCGATTTCATGTTCAGTTTGCTGTTGTTTCCATCAACAGATGGACGAGGCTTTTCCTGGGAGATTTGCAGGTCTCAGAAGTGTGCAGTTGAAAAGTGGCATTAGGTTTGTAAACTGCCTGGATTAGCAAATGAATTATAATTTACTGGATTCTAAGGTGCTCTTCTTTATTTTAACCCTCATATTTTCTCTTAATTAAGGTGTGGAATAACAACTGTTAACCTAGCACTTAAATTTAATTCCAAAACAAAAGAGCAAGATGTTATTGCAGTACTTCGTAATGCTGCCAAAGATGGAAAGCTTGGAGGCTTCAATGTGAGTGCAACAAAAAGGACAAGATCGCAAGCTGATTTCGACACTGGAACTACAGAAGCAGGCACAGTAACGCTAACTGCTGACAGTAAGTTTTAAGTCTTTTGATACATACACTGTAGTTGATTAGTAGCAAGATTTCACAGGATTGTTTATCCCTCATATGTTCTTCAGTGGAGTGGTTAATTGGAGTGGGATTTAATTACGAGTATATTCAGCATTTGGAACATTCTTCCTATGTAAATGGTATCCACGTTAGCGTACTTTGTTGTATTGATTTGTTAAAACATCATACGTATGTAGTCTAGTGTCTCATTCTGCATGACACCGCAAAAGATAAGGGCTGTAGGGTGATAGGATAGGTGAAGTATGAAATAACAAACAAACAGAACAATGGCGCAAACAATAACTTGCAAGGCCTATCTTTCTTAACTCCACCAGCTAATGAGCTAGGGCACAAGATCTCATCCAGTAAAAAATCAACTCGTGTATTTTTCAGTGGTACTTTTACATATCTATGATATTTTTTTGCTACCGCAAGCAAATGTCGCGAGAACGATAAGCCTTCTGCCCGATGTGGTTAGCATTGATTCCTGCTTGTCTCGGTTCTTTATTCAGACCCTTACATGAATTTTGTAAAGTAATGAATCGTTGCTCTTATTTTGGCAGAATACAAAAAAAAACTTATATCACAAGAGCAACAAACTAGGAAAGAAAGCAAAGCATTTGAAATCAGGATCCAACATTCATTTACTTTATTTTTAGTTCTCACAAAAAATTCGGCACTGATATGATTGAGAAATGATTGATAAGGTGCTCGTACGTACACGTATGTACTGCATAAAGACTTCTTCAATAATTATAAAGTAACCAAGAAAAGTAATGAAAAATGCTCCCATCGACTGTAGTTCAGTGTAAACCTAAGAAATTTCATTTTGCTGGCTCGTAATTCCAATTATTTTTGAAACGTCATAAAGAATAAGTAAGGGAAGGGTACTGGTGGAATAACTGTAATCTAGTTCTCATACTTAGTTGGACTTCTTCCTGTAGGTATCAACATTACATTTTATTAGGCTTTTAAGTAATTTTACGCGAATTAGATAAAAACTTGTATGCGTAGAGAAAGGCATCAAGACTAAACTGGCTAAGCGGAGAATTGCAAACATATTGTTTGTGGAGGCATATATTCATATGTTGTTTGTCTTGTCTTTTCAAGGTGCCCTAGGGATTACTGTTGGTGTGGTGGTTGGATCAACTGCAGCACTGGCGGTTGCTGCAGGAATATTCGTCTTTTTCGTAAGGAAGTTAAGAAAGCGTAACAGCAAGAACTCAAATGGTAAGAGTAGTATTTTAAAATGCTTGCTTTGGAACACAAGAAAAATTGCGTGGTATCAGGCAACTAAGAAGTTTGTGTTGTTTGTAGCCTCATTTAAAAACAAGGCAAGTTTGGAGATTTCGAAACAGTTCTAACAAATCCCTGTTTTTAAGAGGTAAAAAGATGTGTTTGTCTAACTCCGTAATAAAAGATGTAACGAAATTATTAGATCGACTACAAACTTATTAAATTTAAAAAACCTGAAATTCCTGAAAAAAAACAACTCAATACAACTGCGGAAAACACTGAAAACAAGAGTACGTAAGAGTGTCCGCGTCAATTTTCATTGTCAGGGTCTAAGTCTGTGGAAGCTGGATTGGCTGATATTGCGAAATCACGCGGACCGAACGTGAATACCAAAAGATGTGATTTGAGATTCACAAACTGGAAAAAAAAAATTCAACAACAGTAACGTGGTAGGCAAACCCGAGTCTTAAAGCCTCTGAGTGTTTGGGTGAGGCTAGGTGAACACGGTAGATCTCCTGCATGATCTGTTGCGTTCATGAAATACAGACATATCCAAATATTCACGACCGTGATTATATGCCCTCATTTGATCGAGTCTCTATCATTTTAATAATTCAATTATAGCCCTAGACTTAATGACCGCTTTCTGCTTAAATTTTCCATGTATGAAATGAGATAAATGTCAGAAGACATCATTCTGCATTTCCTTTGTACTATTTATTACTTTCTCTTTACATACTTTTCGAGCTGGTTTTTCATTTTTTTTTATACTTTCTTTCTGTTTTTTTTTCTGTTTTGGAATCAGGGAAAAGAGAAAGGTGAGATTTCTAGAACGATGAATTATCGTCGAATTTCATGTTTTGTTGCAAACTGTGTACAACTGTGAACTTGCCTAATGTTAGCGTGGATTATGATAATTATGCTCAGAGCAAGAGTGTCATCTAAAGTCAGTTTCACAAAGCATCCTTAACGTGATGACTTCAAAACTGCTCACGAGTGTGGGCTATCCAGACATAATTATCTTTTCTTAGAGTTTGTCCATCAAAGGAAAGGTACAGATGCCTAGCTCCTAATGTTTATGATACCTTTTTTTGCGCCAATACAGTAGCGCAAAATGTGACATGCTGTAACTAATCATTTCATGACTAATACTCATGGAGTACCCAGAGGTGTGCTTTCCAGCCGAAAAAAATTTTCAACGTGCTTCATCCGATAGAATTTGGATTAGAGAGAAAATATGATATTCTTCTTTAACTTTTAGGAAAAACAGAAAAACAACTGAAGAAATAGGACAAGTCGTTGTAAGTCGCTTGTATATTTTAACTTTTAACCTTTTTCTGGTACAATATAGTATATCGTTGTTTTTTCCAAGAGGACACGGTAACGAATCCTTCAATCTGATTGGTTCTTAGCGCAGTCCGCATTTCCCTACCCCTGCCAATGGGCACAGTAACCCTTTTATGGATCGCAGAGTACATTCCTAGTTTCGTTGTAAATTTTTTCGCAAATATACGTTGTAGCTCTAGTTAATGATTGCGTTTATTTTTTCAAACTCAAAAGACTGGACTTGAAATGGCGGAAGCTTCTCAAAGCCAGAAGTGCTTGACATTGGATGAGCGGAGTCGGTCACCTTCCATGACAGATTCAGGGTTGGCGAACTGTTCACAACCAGGCCAGTCTGTCACTGAAAACACCTCTCTATATCCATCACCACGTTTTTCGAAGATTCCTTCAGAGCTCATGACTATAGAAAAAGTCGTTGGTCAAACTCAAAAGACTGGACTTGAAATAGCGGAAGCTTCTCAAAGCCAGCAGTATATGGCATTGGATGAGCGGAATCGGTCACCTTCCATGACAGATGCAGGGCGGGCGACCTGTCCACAACCGGGCCAGTCTGTCACTGAATACGCCTCCCTATATTCATCTCCACGCTGTTGGGAGATTCCCGCAGAGCTTGTGACGATAGAAAAGGTCGTTGGTGAAGGGGCTTTTAGTCAGGTTGCCAGGGCAACAGTCATAGGCCTCCAGGGGAGACCAAAGAAGACGCTTGTGGTTGTTAAGATGTTGAAAGGTATCAAGTACTTCAAATAATTAGATGTGTTTCAGTGAAATTTCGAAGTTAACACTCCCCTCGAAAGACGTAACCTCAAGCAGGTAGCATAAAAAAATTCCGCCTTCTTCTCGATCCTGACGGTAGCAAAGCAAGCCCAGTCTCTCACCCTAAACATGGAGGGGAAGGTTCGTTTAGTAGTATATCTATTCTTCAATCAGTATTCAACTAAACGTGACCTCAGTTAATAGATCAGGGTCGTGAGACAATTTGAAACCAGGTATTAACCATGAATGAGTTGACCAGTCCTGTGTACTCGAAACACGACAAGCGTCTCACGTGGCCTCAACATGAAACTTGAACGTTCATTGTCAGCTGGTTCAGCACCCTCTGATATCAGAAGTCGTAAAATTTTCCTCCAAGTTAATCGGAAGAACTACTTTTTTTCCGCAAGAACTTATCGACACAATCGTTTTTAAGTAAAAAAGTAAATTATTGTCAACAATCAACTCTCCTCCCTCCCTCTATTCAAAGGTAGCAAACCTCAAAAACTGCTTTTTCCGAATTCAAATTGACATAAGGGTCGTCCCTTTCGACATGAAACGTCAGTGGGAAAAGAAAAATCCATGTTTCTGCTGAGAGTATGCCGCTCAGCAATTGCTTTGCAGAAGTCTTATTCTTATTAAATTAAGTATCGTTAAAGCATGGTCATACTGGTACAGCAGTGGAATGAAGGGTTTTGTCATTGTATATGTCGACTGAGAACTGTGTTTAAAATTATATTTACTTGTAGAGTGTAAACGAAGTGTTATGGTCTCAATTAGGTCGGTCTCATTGAGCTTTACACGTGAGCCCCAAAGATAAACTTGTTTAAGATATTTCATAACATTATGACTATTTCACGACCTTATGATTTTGAATAAGATGTTCAATCACCAAGCAAAACAGAGCTCAGAGTCAGAAAGGAAATTTGCAACTTAATTCGATTCAGCAAGAGAACGTCAACTGACATCCTCTTGAGTTCAGCTACTGCTGTTGTTTGTAAAGGTAACAGCTGTTGGGTGATCGTCTTGCAGATGACGCTTCTGAGTCGGACAGGAAGGACTTGATGTCCGAACTTCGATTGATGAAGAAACTCGATGCTCATCCTCATGTCACTGAACTTCTGGGATGTGTCACGAAATCTGGTAAATGTGGAAAAATATACTTTAAAAGCCCAAACAATTATTTTCATCATTTTCCAGCAGATCTCTTGCATAGTATAAACATATTTCATGTTTCTCATGCTCTACAGAGCCATTGATGGTGTTGATTGAATACATTCCCTATGGAGATTTATTGGGATACCTCAGAAAGAGCCGTGGATTGAATGATACTTACTTCGAAGACCCGGATATCAAACCACAAACAAATCTGACGTCAGAGCAGCTTATGAAGTTTGCGTGGCAAGTTGCCGATGGAATGTCGTATTTGTCATCGATACCAGTAAGCAGGAACGTTATCTACTTACTGAAATGTTACTTTGACACATGTTGCTGAAATCGGACATTGGTCCCGACTTTTTTCTTTTCATTAAATTCTTAAATTGATTTTATTTGTCGTAGATTATCCATCGAGACCTTGCAGCTCGTAATGTGTTCGTTGGAGCGGGGGAAACGTGTAAAGTGACAGACTTTGGTATGGCCAGAGATGTCCTAGATGATAACATTTATCAAATGAGGTCAAAGGTACTTAACTATTTTGAGCCAAAAGTTGGTGTCGAAATTAGCTAGGGAGAGTGTTCGTCTGTATTTTTAGATTTTCAGTTAATCACAGGCTCTGTTTGATGTTCTCCAACATATCATATTACCGCTAGAAATTGTCAACCAAGGAAGGGATGTGTGATCAGTCTACTACACGCAAAGTTATGACTTTCATTCTTGCTCTTTTCTGCACTTTTGCCGATCAATTCAATATGCTTTTCATCAAGGGACGTATCCCTCTGAAGTGGACAGCTTTTGAGGCACTGCTTTACGGGAAATATTCTACCAAAAGTGACGTGTGAGTACAAGGACCACATTAACATTATTTTTTAAGTTTAATGGGAATAGCCTCTGGGAAAAATTAATGGCTTTCTTCCGTAAGTACCGGCCCGGGATCAGCTCATATGAGTGCGCTTCCCACAACGGCTTACAGAAGATGTTAAAATTGTTTCCAAAGACAAGAACGATTATTTCTCTAAATTTATGCCGTTTGTTCTACAGGTGGAGCTACGGAGTTCTCCTCTATGAGATTTTCACGATTGGTAAGTTAAAGAACTGATGGACAGACCACTAATTTTAGCCTTAAAACTCGTGTTGACCCGCCAAGAAGTCGGTAGGCTCAGCTGGGAAAAAGATGAGCGATGGTGCAGGATGTTTAATGTAAAGCTATATTTACAAATGTTGGAACATTTTTGTAAGGTGTATTTTGAGTAGCTTCTCTATTTCAGGTGGCTCGCCGTATCCAAAGATGGATGAAAGACAAATTTTAACATCGCTAGAAGCGGGATATAGAATGCCTAGACCACAACACGTGGATAATAAGTTGTATGAAAAAAGTTTGTCCTTGTTGTTGCTTCTCTTACGACACCTTTTCTCTTAAAATAGTTTTTTGAAATTAGGGTCTTGAGAATTTTTGGCTGTAGTCAAAATTTAACTGGCTTTACTTGTTGAGCCAGTCTACCAACGGGAAATGTTGGAATAATACGAGTTTGTATCTTGTGATTAGTAATGGTAAAGGGACCGTGTGGATTCGAATCGGTCTGTATTCTTGCGTGTGATAGCGGGAGTCCAGTTCCTCTACTACGGATATGATTACAGACCGAATTGGACGACACGAAGTCTTATTATCAATTGATCATAAAAATTACAATTTCTGAATTAAAAAACTGACAAAGGGGGCGTGAATTGTTTAATGTCGCTCCGAAATTGTCTACAATTCAAACATAAACATTCGCCATTTGGGAGAAAGCCCAAATTTAGGAGTCTGTACATTGTTTCTATGGTGATTGAAACCAAGTTTGTGATTGGTTGATTTTAAAATACAACTTTGAATGTCCGATGAATGTTTTAAGATAACATAATTGCTGATAACTACTTTGCAAATGAATAAATGGAAAATAGGAGTTTATAAAACCAATTACAATAAAGGAAATTGGAATTTTTTGTGATTAGTAAGAAAAGGACCAAATGGTCCTACTATATCTTTATGGAAAAATCACAACATTTTAGGCCTAATAACGCCCTTACTGATGCCACCAATAAGATGCTGAGATATTCTTGACGTTATTGTTAGGTATGACTTAATGACAAACTGTTGGAAACACGACCCTAACTTGAGACCATCTTTTGAGGATATGAGGAACACACTGAAAGAAATGGAAGACCACCATAAGGTAGAGTTGTAGATTTTTCAAAGGGAATTTCTAAACTTTGATCGTAGTTTGCTCTCGCACATACAAGATACACATTAAGAGTATCGTTAACCTCTAGTTGGCAAATCTTGTGTGTTGCCACAGTTCTTTAGAAAATTACAGGAGTTTGGAAGCTACTTTAACTAAATTCTGAGGTAAAAATGACAAATCAGAATTCCATCGATTGTTCTTACATTAGTTCTAAAGTTGTTTTGAAGACACGGAAATGGGATTGATTGTGTATTTCATCAAATTCTCTGAGTCCATCGGCGAAAACCTAACGTAAATACGAAGTCGTATACAGGTAGTACAAGTGTGCTCCTTTGAACGTTCAGTTCACCTATTTTTAAATATGATTTCACCATTAAGATACTCTTTTGGGAGGAAAAAAAGAAAAAGCTTTATTGCAAGCTTAAGAGAGTACGCAACACTCTAAACACTTGACTGTTTTTTTCTTTTTTTTTCAGGGCCTGATAAATTTAGAAAATTACGGTGATCGACTCTATGTTAATGCTGACGATCTTGCCGAGTAAGCGATTGCATCCTCATGGAGCACAGGAGGGATTGATAAATCTGAGATTATATGCTTTTTTGGATGAGGTTTTAGTCTTTCATGTGTTAATTAAGTAAGTACAGAAACAAAAACTAACAGCGACGCGAGGCAAAGTATAGCTTTCACATATTTTTATATGTATTTTTTTTTACTTTTAGTCTTGAAAAGACAAACAATTCTCTACACAAGTATATTAAAGTGGCTACCCATAATTTTTTCATCAGTGTTATAAATTTTGTTTTTTCAGACTAAGTACCTATTTTTGTGTAAAATGTGTCAAAAAAATGATTGTTTTTCCAATAAATAACCTATAAGGCGCGATAAATTTTGTAGTCATGTTAGCACGAATGTATTTTTTGCCCATGTGAATAGTTTATTATGAAATTCTCGGCTCCGAATATTGCATTCTTAGTGTTCTGAATTGTTCAGTTAATTCCGTTTATCAGCTCGTACACCAAAGTACCTACATGGAAAACAGTCCACGCGAGTTTTGCGAAGCTTAGTTTGCTTATAACTGGAAGCGAAAATTTTTCCGGTGCAATGAAAATAAGGTAGACCAAATATAAGTCAATGTCTTATATATATCAGTAATAGAAGTAGAAGTCACCAATTTCAAGGTGACACTATTTAGTTAAGGGTACATATCTTTGATGTGGAGTACCTATCCACCATGTTGAGATCATTAAAAGCTTCTGAGACATCTTTACCTGCTGTGTTGGTGAAGGTGACATCTTATTCGAAGTCCACACTGGTGTCATACTGGGGTGTATCATGTCCACATTGCCTTTCAATTTTGTTGTGGACTGGATCATGCGACGCACCACTAAGGATCAGTTCAGGGGCATAAGGTGGAAACCCTTCTCCTACTTGAAAGACCTGGATTTACACCTTTGCAAAGCAAGTTGGCCTCAACATCAGCAGCAAGAAGATCGAAATTATGGCGCTGAATACTATCAACACACGCCCAGTCCAGATTGATCACGAAGAAGTTCCTTACACTGACATATTCACCGATCTCGGCAGCATCATCGGAAGAGATAAACGAACTGACCTGGACATCCAGAGCCGTCTTAACAAGGTCAGAAACTCACTCAAAACAATGAATAAGATATGGCGCTCCTCTATTTACAGTATTCGCACTAAGCTGAAACTTTATCACAGTTGCGACCTGACAACCCTCCTGTACGACTCAGAACGTTGGCGCTTGACGGAGAAGGATTTATCAAAACTCTCCACATTTCAGACCAAGAGCCTACGCCTTTTCGGGCCCAATATCATCTTAAATAAAGATCTCTTTGAACGGTGTAGACTTGAACCAATGGTTACCATCCTGATGAGGAGATGCTGAGGGTGGATTGGACACGTCACCTTCCCTGAAGCCTCCATAGCAAAAACTGCCCTATACTGGACACCTTAAGGGAAACACAAGAGGTACCGCAAGCCAGAGGACAATCATGAAACGCAAACAGTCGAGAGAAAAGAATTTAAAAAGTAACAGGTTTAAACAGGTAATCTTGAGGCAAAACAACAGTTTCAGTCATGTGTAAGCTGTAAGGTGGAGTTACTTTCTAAGATTTCCGATTTACTACAAATGCAAGAAATAAGCCAATTAAAACTAACAAATGCCTTTTATACAGTACAATTTATATAATAAGCTCAGTTATACACGCATTCTGATTGGTTCTCACTTATGATCATTGGAAGACAAACGTATAGATGACGTCATCATTAAAACTTTTTTTAATTCTTTATTATATAAAACAAATAGATTCCAAGTTGCCGTGCGTCTGTTCAGTAATAGATCACAGAGGACGTCAAAAGGTGGTATATACTTCACAGGTTCATGAGAACCACTCTAACAACCCCATAAAATTAATAGGTAATATAGTGTTAACAACTGGGTTGAAAACGTAAATTAGCCACCGTAAAAGGTAAAAAAGCTGACGTTTCGAGCGTTAGCCCTTCGTCAGAGCGTTATCGCTCGTTATCGAGCGTTAGCCCTTCGTCGGGGCGTTATCGCTCGTTATCGCTCTGATGAAGGGCTAACGCTCGAAACGTCAGCTTTTTTACCCTTTACGGTGGCTAATTTACGTTTTCAACCCAGTTGTTAACACTATATTACCTGCTATACTCTCCCACCGACGCAGCACCACAGTTTCTTTAGAAACTTACCCCTTTATCCATAAAATTAATAGTTCATCTGCTAATAAGCTTTGGCAGTGACTTTTTGTTTTCTTTTGGTATTTAGTAAAATAAGCAATTGGTTTTCTTGCATGGGTTAATAGCCATCACCCTAACATTTAGGGTTGTTTATAATTAAAAGCTTTCTCAGCTTGCAATCTTTTGTTAACCAAGAAAAATAAAACATAAGAAGACAGCCTATTTAGCGCATGGCTCAGTCCACTACAAGTCAAAACTCAAAAAAGAAAAAAAAAATGGAAATAATGTTGAGTAACATGTATTGAAGTAATAGCCATTAATGTATGGTACTAACTCCCCCCACCCCACCCCAGAAAAGGGTCTTTACACTACAAGACAAATGCTGTTTTCAGCTCTCTGTATAAATGTGTGAGAAACCTACATCTCTGGCATAGCAATACAGAAAACAATTACAGGATAAATCAATAATTGCACAAAAACTTAAGCCCATGTAGGCACGAAGGAAAAAACAAAGTTTCTTTCCAACAGAAAGCCCGAATGAACGCAAATATGTGCTTCGCTTTTGTCGGCCGCTACAAACATCCTCAGAAGGGAAAAGAAAGGCCGAGTGGTAAAATTTCCGCACAGCCCCATACTATTGTAAAACAAATCTGTTTTCCCAATGGCAATCTATTGTTTTTGTCATTGTTTTCTCTATCCAAGAACTGAATGCATAATGTAGTATGGGGCTGTGCGGAAATTTTACCCAAACTTTCTTGGCTTGCGGTTGCTCATCACACTGTCTCTTCCTATCGGCAAGACGCTTCGAACGCGAACTAACTGTATTCATGGATTTCTTTGGGTCAAAGATAGTCGGATAGCATTCAGAACGTGCACTTTTTCAACCAGAAATTGAAATCTCGATGTTACTTTCCTTAAAATGTAATGAACAGATTCTTGGATCGCCGAGTGTCTTGAATTTTTATCTGCTCGCTTACAGAAAACTTCCCACTTCTTACGCTCATTGGGCCTTGTAGGAAAGCAAAAATAACTGAGATCCGGTCTTTTCTTACTCCTACTACGACAAAGAGCATTAGCACAATACTTGACCATGGTACACGCGAAAATAAACCGTAATGGACCCCAAAAAAACTCCGAGAATACCCGATTTATCAAACGCACATGGCTTTCCTTGCAGTGTTTGCGGTGGTGTGTTTGTTTTCATTATTCGGGCCTTGTTCCCCGGAGCCTCGCTTCGGTGTTGGAGTTTCGTTACCAGTCTGTCACGCTGAAATTAGGCTATTGTTTCTCAAATATCGTGTGTGTTAAATGTCTAACAGTGACATCTCATTTCCATCTACATCTACTTTTATTATGTTGGTAAAATCTGTACGTTTACACTAGACTGTTGCTCCCTAAATTTCCTGAAAGTAATGCAATGTTGTGTTTACATTTATCGCACAAAGATCAAAGTGATATGCCTGAATATGAGAGTGGCAATGTGTTCTCTCTCCAGAGTGAGCAATGGGAACATGATTCAGGTGAGTAGACTTAAATTGAAAAGGTTATGTAAATATGAATTTTATGAATCTCTTCATTCATTATTTTGATTTTTACATAGCTGAATATGTCTCTGTGAATGCCGGCCTGCACTTAAAATTTCATCCTTTACACCCAAACATCACCAGATAATATTATATTCTCCCTACTGTTCTCTAAATATTTTCCAAGGTACTGATAAGGAGAATTTGTGTAACAATCAAGAACTTCTTAAGTTGGTGATCATTTCCTTTATTCTTCTCATCATAAAGTTTGATCCAGGGATGATGTGGCAGGGGAGAAATTAGATGCTATATATAGTCACTCATAGGGTGAAAGGCTTTAATGAAGATGTACATGTCCACGTGAATGTTGGTCATTTTGCTGACGGTTGTTTTGCAAGCATCTCTAGTCAGTTCCTAAATGTGTAGAAGTCAGTTCGCAAATGTTGTCACGTCGCTGTACCAAGAATGCTTTTGAACATTAGATGACCTTTTGTTTTCTTAAAATGTAGCCTTGTTTCGTTTTGATTGTGTGATTATAAAATATCCTTTGGCTAGCCACACAAATGACAGGAACAAAATTTTGGAGAGTATTAGACAAAAGAGAAACTTTTTTTTGGTTCAGAGTTAGTATTTCCATTGAAAAAAAATTGAAAGATAAAACCAGTTAAAGTTGAAGTTTCTTAAAAGGTACAAGTTACATTCAAGTTTTTTTCTTTACCCATCTCTATCAATCAAAGGGGAATTGTTTTGAATATTAAGAGAAAAGCCTTAATGAGTATTCTGCAACAGTAACTACTTTTGGAAACTTTACAGGTCTCTATAAGATTGCAGATATCAATTTTGAGGAAAGGAAATTATCACCATGTTTTTTGTTGAAGGGTCTTATACAGGCAGTAAAAGTAAATAGAAAACTCAATTGTGGTTTTTAAAAGAGGTTAATGATTTAAGCATAATTGCTGACTTATTCTTTGAAGTTAATAACATGATGTGCAATTCATGAGTATAAACAATCTACCAGACAGTGAGAGCCATGATGTCTTTAATACAACAATTTGCTTGCTTAGACTTAATATACATATGTAGATGTCACTGACACATTTTCTTTTAAAACATTTTAGTGCTTACAACAGTTTTGATGCGCAGGAACACAAACCCAACATGTCGTGTACATTTAAATTATCTGGAAGTACATTAATGGGGTACTTGTTTAATGGACACACTGCCTCACATGTCTGCTTAACACAGCTTTGCTGAGTAGTAGTAGAATGCATTGTACATGTATGTTGTATATATAACAAATGCTCTGTTTGTTTTGTGTTGACAGAATTAAATACACAACTACAGAGTGTATAGACGTTGTCATTAGAATCTTAACCCTTTCACTCTCAAGATCACATGAGTAATTCTCCTCACTGCCTGCCATATACCCTTCTCATGATGTTAGTTCACAGAATTTAGAGACCAACAATCCCCTAACTGATGTTTTTCTTTATTCTTGTCATGAGTCTGTGTGATATTCTATTGATACTGTAAAGAGGAATTCTGCCTTGATCACTCGTGGGAGTGAAAGGGTTAAACATTTCATTGATACAAAATGTTATGAATGTTATTATATGAACTGATGTTGATTCTTGTCTCTTCATTTCCAGATTGGTGCTAAAATATGCAAAAGGACTGTATGTGCTGGTAAGTATCATGCTCATAACATTGTGTGAATTAGCCCAACAAAGTTTTAATATGGTATGTTCAAAGTAAAATATTGATTTGATGCAAAACACCATCAAAAAGTGTAAGTTTTACGATTTCCTAAGGTTGACATTCATATGTATTATTCATTGCAACAATGCTTCAAATAGATGCCTATAATGGGTTTTTTCAGTGAGGGTATTTTTTGATAGACATACATTTTAATTTGCAGTCCTTGTTGCATTCACAGAAAGCAACATTGAATATTCAAGGTGGAAATAATATCATCATGATTCAGAAAGGAATTTGGTAGCTTAATTATGTTTAACCACCAGTTTGTTTAACCCTTTTACTCCCATGTGTGACCAAGACAGAATTTCTCCTTACAATATCAATAGAATATCAAGCAAACAAGTGATGAGAAATTATAAAGAAAAATATCAGTTAGGGGATTATAAATCAATCCAATATCAAATTCTCCAAACTAACATCACATGAAATGTATGGCAAACAGTAAGGAGAATTACAAATGAGATCTTGGGAGTTACAGGGTTAATTAATGTCAGTAATAATTTATCTTGGTGGCACAGATCTAAAGCTTGTAGCATGTAAATGACTTTGAGGTGTTTAAATATTTCATTTTGATATTGTATATATTGATTTATAACTGTACAATATGCCACCAGAGTTGTATTATAACTGTTACTGTAATCCATAATTTCCTTCAAAGTCCAGAGTATTAACTCAAAAACTAATGTGTGTATTAAGTTTTCTCTGAAGTATTTCTCTTGTGATTGTGGAGTTCAACTACCTACTCTAAATTAATTTTAATAAAAATTTCATCATCATGGATGTTGCGGTGACATGCAAAAATTATTAGATGGCTGTTTCACTACTTCATTTTCTCATTCAGTTTCTCTTTTCAGTCACAAATCGATAAAAGCAACAGTAACACTAATAACCACAAACAAATTAAATTTAAGTTAATGTTTAGAATCATTAAGTTTAGAAGTGTTAAGACACTGAACTTTATCACATGGAAGGAAAAAGATCACATCAATCTAGATGGAAATACTAAGATTAAACCAAGTTATGCCTTGCAGTGCTTCTGTCCTGGTGTTGAGATAAGAACTTTAAGCCAGTTTGGGACTGGCAGTCAGCTATTTTTGAAAATGCTTGTGTGCAGTGTGAACAGTGAAATTTTCCTCACAGTACATGTAGCTTTTGTGAGTCTTCAAATGTCAGATTTGTCAAGATTGGCTTTGGATATTTATGTTTTGAAAAGATATGGCAATAACATCAAGAAAATCCCAATCCAAAGGGGACACATCAAAGCAATGGTCATTGTCCACTTTCTAAAATTTGATGAGGTTTCAGAAAATTCTTTGTTTATGTGATTCTAAGACCTAGGATTCATGTCAGGAAAGAGTTAAGTTCGCAAGATTCACACTTAGATGAGACTACATGAGTGACTATAGGGTTGGTGTTGATCTACTTACATTAAATTGTATGTTGGGGAAAAATTGCAAGACTCTCTATAACTGTAATTGTTTCAGTGTAGTAGTAAATGTTTTTGTAAAGGGTGGTTAATTGTTTATGATTGCCTATTATCATTTTGTGTTTCCAAATCCTGGTGATATCTGTTTGAAGGGAAAATTATGTTTCAAAAGTTTGTCTGACATACAACTCACAAATTTCATCTTACATGATGTTTGAAGCAATCTAAGATAATGATGGATTATAATGAAATCTTTATTCCACACTGAAACTTTGAAGATTTCTTTAATTGAAAAAAATTGATTCCATGTAGTTTTTAATCATCTGTCACTTTATATGAGCGCAGAAAGTCAGCATTAATAATAACTTAATGCACGAGTATATTGCAATATCCATTATGAAATTTTGGGGAAAAAAACAATCTGTAGATATTTTCAAGCTTCTGTACGATTAAACCTCCTTTCCCCCCCCCCTCCCACTTAAAAAATGGTAATATCATTATCTGTTACTAAGGCATTAGTAGAGCAGTATATCAGATATAAATGTTGTTATATTATCTAGTGGTATGAATACTTGAGATCTTATAAGTGTTACTTCAAGACAACAATTTTGTAAAAATGGAAGTTAGCAAAATACTGGTTACAGTTGGTGATATCACATATTTATTGGAGCCCTAATTATTGCATGATTCTGGTAAAGGTTTCTCATAAGGATCGATGGTTGTATTATATTTAGCTCAATACTCAATCTTTCAAAATGTATTGATCACAATTTTACACAGTAATTTACACCTCTAACCCCCAGTTTGTGCTGCTGCATGTGGTAGGGGAATACGTTCCCAATTTTTATCCCTGATTTTGTTTTGTGTTTTCGTATCAGGCAGCACATAAAGCAAGTCCTGCATTTGCAGTCTGTTAATTATTGTTATTACAGTGTAGTCTGATTACATAGGCGCCAGCAACCGCATTGTATGTTAGTAAGTTTTTGACTATCACTAGATATAAAGGGTTTTAAAACCAATGTACTTCTTTTGTTAACTCTCACTTATTACCTGTAAACTGTGTAGCTTTTGATTGATATACTACTTTATATTTTTTTGTTTAACCTCACTAAAGTTTGAACTGTGTTGTTCCGGCAGATATTGATATTTACTGCAACTGGAAAAATTTCGTGTGCACAACTGTGGCATACATCGTTAATCTTAACTAACTCCTTGCCCTTGGTTTTCATTCTTGCACCGTGTATCAGGATACTTGTATACACCATTCACAGCTTGGGTGAATTCAATATTTGCTGAAACAACACATGTCGATATTCCTTCACTTTAATAAACATAGAAGAGGAGCAGGTGTAAGTTTAGTTGAGTTAATACTTGATAAATAATTGTGAATATTTAATTAACTTACTGTGGTGAAGCCAATAAATTACGTTTCAGAGATAGAAATGTTCATCAATGTGATGTTGTTCCTGCAATATGTCCGCATTAAATGTTAATCCATCAGATGCAGTCGAAGCAAATACACGAGTTGCTATTTTCCCTCCTGCAGTATTCCGCCGCGAAGGTTGAAAAAGTTCATTTCAGTAACCATGGTTATGGACACACCTCTGTCACACCTCTATATTGCTCCAATGAGAACTTGCGCTTAGCTTTCCCAGAATGCACAAGCAAACGTCAAGCCGCAAGTTCATCTTCACTTCTAATTTTCATTCGAAACTCAGACTCGTTGTATTTCTTCCCTTATTAGCCGTAAAATTTCTATCTGATATTGGATATCTTGTACCAGCCTTTTGTAGGGCGGAGTTTTTCTTGCAAGTCTTTATGGCCGACTTTAACTCATCCAGGAGAGGTAAGTACAAAGCAGTTCGCAGCTTGGTCAGCGAGAAAAGTATTCCATAATTGCTTTAGTCAGTTAGCCACTCGCTTCTCTTTCTTTTTTTACTGCCGCCTAATGATAAAGACCGTTAACGACGAGAACAAAAATTGTTATTTAAGTTATTTGCCTTTGATAATAATTTGTACGTTAATTCTTGGACCTTTCTTTTAGTAATCGTTCCATGTTTTCGCCATTCAGGGCTTACAATAATTAAAAAAGAACAAGGTTATTGTAGAAACTCTGAGATAGCCGTTTTGAGGGGTACTGTTAGACAGTACAATGTAATACACACGTTACCCTACGAGTCAGTGCCACCGATGTATAAATCAGCCTATGTGGTGGAATGTCCATAGACATCATCACTAAACATGTGTATGATGGTTGATGGTTTTCAATTCTATTGAAAATTTTCCAAGCTAGTCCTAGGTGAAAGATTTAGGAGAAATGACTGAATTAGTTATCAATTATTTGCTCAAAAACTCCCACAATTCTGCATAAACGCTTGGTTTGGCAATGGGTTATATCCTCAGCACTGGGGGCTGTACCATTTTGTAACAGTTAGGAAAATGAAATTTAATTGGCATTACTATATGGCAAGGTAGTCTTGAAGTAAATATCACCACTGATTTTGTCCACTAGAACCATCATAACCGCTGTACTTTTGTTTTGAAAGGCAGAAAATTTAAAATTTAAAAGTTTAGTCCAAGTGCAATTTGATAAATCACTTCCTAACTTTGCTTGCTCAAGTTCTACCAATGAATATTGACCATCAGTTGCTTTGTAAGGACCTCATGAAAATGTTTTCTAGGATGGTGCTCAAGCTTGGTAAGAAATTTTTATTTGCAGTTATAGCTGAATTTATCTGCTGCAGTGACATCAATAAAATGAATGAGAGGCAGTTGATCCATTTTAATATTTTTAATGAAAATTTAAGGTGACGTGGTGACCATGGCCACCATGTACACCCTCACTGGCCACTACCACAATGCCCCCCTCTTCCTCCACTCTTGCCTCTTCTGTTTCCTCCTCTTTCTCTTCCACAGGGAGAGGCACACTCCTTGTAGGAGTGGCCTCTCCCTCCATAATTGAAACACTTTCTATTTCTTTGAGAAGAAAAAAAAGGAAAGAAATGAATTAGAAGTTGTAATAAGACTACATTCTTACCAGGAGATGTTACCCGATTGACAACTGTACTTACAAGATCTAAATAATAACCCTATTTCCTTAAAAATCCTTATTTGCATTATCATAGATTTTCATCTCTCCTACAATGCCTGCATACTGTAGTTTTTATGTAATTGGAAAAAAATAGTCATTGTATATGTGTATGTATTGGAAACCAAGGAGATGGACATTCAAAGGGTTTTTATTTGATCTTTATTTAATTTTAATTTTTTTGTAAACATATTGACAACTAGACTTACAAGATCTAGATAAATAACCCTATTACCCTAAAATTCTTATTTTTATTATTGTTGATTTTTATCTTTCCTACAATGCCTACTATCATTTTTGACTCTAATTGAACAACCAATTTATTTTCACAGTCCTAAGCTTCCAATCATCATACCATGGAAAGGCTTGAACAACTTTTATCCATTTGTTGTGTTGGTTAAAAAAACTCGCTGGTTCACTGTGCTCATGCATTTATTTATTTTTTTTTTTGAAGTAGTAGTCACTCATTTGTGCACACTTTCCATGGAATAATCTCCATTTGTTACAGATTAAGGAATATTTCTCAGAACCCATATTATTTCTAAAATTTAATTTCTTTTGCATGAGCATGATAAATTAAGATTTCTGAATACTTTGGAAACTGACATTTAAAACAAATGTTATCTCAGCTTATTGTTATGTCAGTTGTTGTTAGATTACTACTCACTTCATTTTATTATTCCATCTCTTCCACCCTTT